AGGCATTACTTTAAGTGTGTGTTTCCTGCATTACATAAGTTTGTGGTTTGGCTTCTGGTAATGCTAACATTCTTCTTAGGGATACAAAGGGAAAGCCTTCCTGAAGGTTTCATTACTTTCTAATGTTCAAATTCCGGCGATTCAGCAGCAGCCTTAGCAAAGCTTTTGGAAAGTGAATAGTGTAGTTAGCACAGAGATGAGAGCCACTAAACCCGGAGGGACCTTTATCCAGCCTTCACCACTGAGTCACTGTGTGACCTGGGAAAAGTCACTTAACCTCTTTGTGCCCCATTCTCCACCACCAGTAACAGGGGGATAACACTGTGGAAAGTGCTGTTGGGGCTAAGTATGAGCATTCCTCGCTCTCTTCAGCGTTATTCATGGGATTTGAACTAGCAGGACTCTTCAGTCTGTCATACTTGCTTAAAAAGGTGGCTAACATCACTGCTCGTGGCCCCTGTGAAAAGCTGGTGTGCGTTTGACTTTGCGTTAAGACTCCTCACAACCGGAAGGAGAATCGAGCTCAATATCATTTTGTTGAGAAATTTTCTTTTAAGCAGCATGGCTGAATCGTAGTTCACCCTCCCCCCGCATCATGGGCGCCTTGTAGAAGTTCAAATCAAAACTGATAAAAATTCGACTTTGCTGGACAACTGGCTTCCTCTCAGCCCGGGCTTTGGCTCTCTTTGAGCATTACTGCGGATAGGTTAAGGTATGAGTAAGACTCATACTTAAAAAAAAAAAACCCAAGGGAATTTTTTTTTACATGAGATCTCAGTCCCACATATTCCTTTCTTTGCTGGGGAATCTTGACTAGGTGCTCTAAAGTCCTGCATAGTCATGTGATGACTGTTACAGCATTGTGAGTACCAGCTCTCCCTCCCTCCCTCCGTCTTCAGGGAAGGGGTTGCAAAGTGCTAGATTTAGGTATTCTGTCAAGAAAGCAGCAGCATCTGCATCCGTAGGCCCTGCTGGCATGTGGGTTGGTCCCAGTCTCCGTTAGCCATGGGAGGGAGAAGCGGCTCCTTGAATCTTTGCCGGTCTCTGCCATCTAGTAGAAGTGAGACAATTGATCAGGGCAAAGAAATCTGGAAGCAGCAGCTTGAATCCCACTTTTGGCTGCCATTTGATTTAGGATTTTCCTTTCTCTAGTAAATTGCCGACAGTCTTCTTTTAAAGTTAGCGTTACCTGTTACATGTGGCATTTCCCAGCTCCTGCAATGAGACAGGCAGCGTGGGCGTGAACACATGTCCCCAGAACAGCCTAAACTATGGACAAAGAAACAGCCTCTTCCCCCAACCTCCCTGAAGAAGCTGGCTGTGCAATCTATGGGTTGGGATGGAATCTCACTGCTTGCAGGATGGGGATTGGGACAGCACAGAATATCAGGAGATGGGCACAAGGCAGGAGGCAGTGGAGGAAGCCAAATCGTGCTACGGGCAGCTAGTGGCTGTTTCTAAATGGTGGAGAGCAAAGTGGTCTTCCTCAGAATAGCTCCAAGGCACAGGAGCTACCTTCTTCCAAGAGTACCTGCTCTCCAGTGTTAGGCCCCACTTTCCTCCCACAAGTCTCTGGCTTCCCTCTCCACTTATAAATTAAACCTCATGCTTAAAACTTCCCTCTTCGCGTCTTGTACATTCTAACCTTTAAACACACCATGATGCAGATGAATCTATAAAAAGGACTTTGCATTTATTACAGCAACACAGCACCATTCTGATATACTAGAGTCCTGTGTGAAGAGGTGACTGAATGACATTCAGTACAAGAAGTGGTGGGCAAAGAAACAAATTTGACCTTTGGGCCTTCCCTCAGAGGTAGCCAAAAGACCATTGGATTCCAACCAATCAAGTGCCTTTTTGAGCCACATTCTTGAAATTTGGGAAATTCCTTTATTATGGGTTGCTGATGAGAGAAATAACCCCAAATTTGACAACTGTTATGAGTCACAATAAAAGTTACCACTAACAGTTCCCAGACATGATAGTTTGCTTCTTCCAAGGGTGGTCACACTGAGTACATAACTTCCAATTTGGAAAAACTATACTGCTCAAGGTCACCAGTTCCATTTATTGGATAGTAGCCAGGCAATTGCTGATGGTGAATGAATGTGCCAGTGCTGACAGCCAAGTCCACCCAAATGATAGACTACTGTCAGTTAATGGCACTAGCTACTCACCCCAACACCTTCCAAGAGAATGCCCTTGTGGGTGACCCCTGTCACAACCAAACCAAGGAGGGGAGGGGCCACAGGGGGAAGGAGGGCCAGTATGGAGGCAGGGCTATGGGGATGTGCCACAGGTACTGTAATAAAATAATACCACGTAGTTGTACTATAGCGCTTTTCATCAGTAGATTTAAAATCCTGTTACAAAAAGGTGGTCAGTACCATCACCCCCAGTTTACAGATGGCGAAAATGGAGGCATTTCCTTAATCCAGCCCTGTGAGGCAGGTTTCCTTTAACTCCTTTTTCTTCTACATTGAATAGATTACACAGCACTGGAGAATAAAAGGTTCTGCACAGCATATACATGGTGTGCTCTTCATACAAACACACACAAATGCATATTTCATTTCAGCACTAAGGCATTTTATTTAAAAATGTATGACACTTTAGAGGCTGCTTATTTAAATTTCTAGCAAACACACTTAATGTTTTCATTCCATATCAAAGCATTATGACTAGCTAGGAAATCCCCCACCCCCACCCCAAAGCCAGTAGTACTTCGGGTGCCCTGCTGATCTCACTAGTATATATTGTAAGTTTTATAGTTCAGTCTTGGTTTTAAGAATTGCCTTCTAAAACTAGTGGATTTCAAACTGGTGGGGTTTAAGGCTCATTCTGCTACATATACCTGAAGTAAGAAAAAATGGGTGTTGGGAAGGGGGGGAGGGGGGAAATCTGTGTCCTCTCCCAGATTCCACATATGCTCAGACACTGCTGAGCTTTAGGAGGCTGTGGAGCTGCTATTGCAAGGTCCTTGCTACCAGTGACCACGTGCTTTACCAGGTCCCTCATGCTGCTTCTTCCTCCACCACCATCTCCTGGAATTGGCTTCATAACTCACTAGGGTCCTTCTCATCCTGAGCCACTGGATACAAACTGCAGTCTCCACCCTTACTACCCCTCACACCATGGTACGTGGTACACTTCCACGCCCCCTTCCCCTGGGAAGCTTCAGAAAAACAGGAAGTACCAACCAATGGGGAGCCATCTTGCTACATTAGTGATCCTCCAGAACCAGAACCTATTGTTTGTTAAGGGGATTCCCTGGAAGCATAGGCAAACTAATAGGTCAGGGATTGGGTGGGAGGGATCTGAGCCCCTCACCAATTATAGGGAAGGCAGCCAGAGGAGAGACAGAGACTGGCTCTGTGTTTTGAGTACTCTAGTGAAACAAATTTTTTTTTTTATTTTAAATTATAGCTGCCCCAGTACAAGCATATTCTGAGGAGGGGGAAAGGAGTGGGTACAGGGAGCCCTTTAAGGTACATCTACAGGGGAGCTGGAGGTGTAATTTCCAGTTTGAGCAGACATACCTGTGCTAGCTCTGAGTTAGCACGCTAGACACAGAAGTGTAGCCGCCGCAGCATGAGTGGCTAGCCACCCTGAGTACAATCCCACCGGAAATGCTAGGTACATACTTGGGGCGGTGTGACTTCTGTTTTTAGTGCATTGGTGCAGGGATGTTTCCTCTAGCTAGAAATGACACCTTCCAGTTCCAGTGTAGACATCCCCTCAGCCTCCCCTCCTAGCACTGCATTACAGGAAGCTGCCATAGTCCAGTTTTCTGAATAGGTAAAACAGCACTGATTTGGGTATACTGGGCTACAGCCCCAAACACAGTCCAGTCTAGCCACCAGTTTGAAAGATTGGCTCTATACTTCAGTGTGTTTTAAACAGCTTTCCCCTCTCAGCATAGAAATCATAGGCCCTTTCATTTGTGTGTCACAATCTCATAGTCCAGATCCAGAAGTGGAGGTTGCCAGGGTATAAATGGAGGGTCCACGTGGGCACTATACTCATCTTCACTTAGGTGTCTTGACTCCCCAGAACTCCAATCCAGCTCCCAATGAAATCAAGAGAAAGACTCGAACTGAGCTCATGGAGAGCTGGATCAAGCCCTGGGTACTAAGAAACACTGCTTTTCCAACTTCATACATGCTCTGAACATACCTTGGTAAGCTATATACTAGTGTGATTACACCACAGGCACTCTCAGAACACAGCCTTTTCCAATACGAATACCTGCCACAGCAGGGCACTTGCACTTTGGGCCTGCCCCAAAGCCCAGGGAGGTCAATGGGCTTTGGATCTGCCCCTTTGACAAGTGCAACATCCCATACTCCTTCCAACTCTTTCTGTAGTCTGTGCCTCCCCCGCCACCGGACAATGGCAGGATCTGGGTTCTCCCTGGTGACACTGACGGGGCGCAGAGAGGGAGAACGCATGACAACCATTCTGGCAGTGAGGAGCAGACCTCTCCCCTTCACAGGGAAGTCCTAGTTACACCAAAGGAAAGGTACTTTGCCACAGGCATGTTTCTTCACCTGGATTTTAAGCACAGTGGTTCAGGCTGCAACCCGGACAGTCACTGTCGAGCGTGACAAATAGTCATGCACTCTGTCAGGCCCTCTATGGCAGTAGGCTGTTTGCCAGCACAGATACATCACACCTACTAAACAAAACTAAATAGTTAAAACTAAATAGTTCCTTCTCCCCCTGCCACTCACATTTTTCCCTACACAGGACACAGTCTAACTTCCATTCCTTTTCAAATGCAGTTGGAGCAGTGCAGCCCCAAGCAGTCAGAGTAACCCAGAGTTGGGTTGACTCTACGGCTTCACGATAGCAAACAAGATGTACTACCCTTGGGTCACATTTCCATAGGAAAAGGTTACACGTATTACACATTTCTGCCTTGAAATGCTGACACGATGATGCAAGATTCGACACTGTTTTCATAACGGCAAAGCTGAGGAGACCCTGCTGCCGAGTTCACAAAATGACAGCCCGCCTCAACGCCGGCCATCCTCACTTTAGCATAGCAGCAGCCCTTCCTTTGCTGCCAAGCGCTGGCGATGGATTTTGTCTTGCTGCAGCTCCTCGTGGTTTGGATGCCAAAGTTTCATGATGATTCTCTCAATGTTTAGAGCGTAGACGGTGTGTGCTGGAACAACTTCTCTGTGCACCTGCGGGGGCAGGGGTTACACGTTAGAAAACATTGCTAGCCAGATGCTATTACGCTCACGCCCCTCATTTCTAAAATAAGATGCATCTAGTGCATTTATTATAACTATATAATAAGCTGATGAAGGGGTTCTCAGGGGCAACCAAAAGGTTAGGCTTGTTGCTTTGTTTCTAACTTGCCAATATTTACATACACCCAGAAGAGACCACCTGCACTGAAGCCACCCACTCAGGATAAGCATAGGGAAATAGATAGTGCTTGCAACATGCTCGCAAGGGTCAAATTCCAGAGTCCTCCTGCTGAGAATGCTTGGTCTCACCAGCCCCAAGCCATGCAAACCCAGGGACGGACAGCTCGGGCAGCCCAGCTGGTAACAAATACCTGCATGGAACACAGAGAAAAGAGGGATTTATATGGCAACTCAGTGTGCCGTATTTCTGCCAGAATCTCCATCAATCGAATGCAGGGAGGGGGGCTGTGATCATCTGTAACCCCATAGTGCAAAGCGCATAATCCCAAGGTGAGAACCTATGATCTAACGCATAATGTGCTTGCATCTACCTGGCAACATTTACACAACTGGCGGGGCCAATCCATAGTCCCTGCCTAATACTCTGTGCAGCTCCATGTATAGCCACAGATTTAAGAAGAAAACAAGGGAACAGCCTGTTTAAACAAACAGGCAGTGGGGAAGGAGTGAAATCAGGTCAGACTCCAAGTACATAATACAGAGCAGACACAATCAGCTCTGACTAGCAGTCTCTGCTCAGGAAAGCATATCCCCAAGCCATGCTGCAATGGAACGTGAATGGTTACCTGTAATGCCTCAAAAAGGTCATACATGTTCACGGGAGGGAGAGTAGCTGGTAAAGTATTCCCAGAACATGCTAAGAGGAGAGCTGCCTGCTGCTCAGCATCGTCAGGAGCGGGGTGGGAGGCTAGATTCTGACCCGCAGAAGGTGCCACGCAGGTAGGAGGACTGTAAAGAGAGGGACATTAAAGACATTCCAGTCAATAAAGAAGCACTCACTTTGGGAAATATCAGGGCAGTAGCTTAGCTCCTGAACTTTATTCTTCACTCAGAGCTGGCTCAGGCCTTGTCTGGATACCAACGTTGCACTGGTTTCACTAAAAATCAGCTTTTAAAAGGGACTGAGTTAAAATGGCGCAAAGCCGTGTGGCCACACTTAAACTGGTTTACGTTACTTTTAACTTGGTCACTTTATTGCAGACAGGCTGCTGGCATTCTTACATGACTAATCTCCAGCCAGAACAGATCCCAAGGCTGTGTCTCCACTAAGTAAAGAGTTGCACAAACTAAAAACAAATACGTAATGGTTAAACTATGCATCAGTTGCAACTCTTCAAATGGCAAAATCCCACTGCTCCCCAGCAGCCAGAGACAGCATGCTTACTTCTAAGCATAAACAACACACTGTATAGTGCACCGCTGTTTGGATTTCAGAGATTACAAGAGACAAGATGTGTTCTGGAGATTAGCTATTAAAAAGACCATGATATCTCAGGACTGAAAACTTAAAGGAGCCCACTCTGGCCCATGTGTCTGGCAGAGACAAGGCAGGAACAAACAAAGTCTTTATCTGCAAGGTGCTGAAGGTAAAACCTAAAAGTTCACCTGAAGCTCTGGGACTGTGGCTGACCTCTCTGCTCCCAAGCCGGAGCAGTCCTAGTCCTATTTTTGGCCCCCTACCACCCTGAAGTTGAAAGAATGTACATATGCAAAACTCATCACTTGCATGCACAAGTGATGGACAAAAACCAAACCAAACTAAACCAAACAGCCGACCGATCAGAAGCAGAGCAAAACAAAGCAGAGTGGCACAGCAGTTCAATGCCCCAGACAACTGCCTGGCTCACCCACCCCTGGAACTGCCCCTGCTCCCACGGTACACTGGCGCTGTCCACCACGAGGGTTGTGTTTTGCTGTGCAGAGACTGAGCTTTACCGGGGGCCAGCCTGAGACTGCGGAACAAATTTTTACAGAATCTAAGAACTGCCTTGACTCTCACCAGCTTCTGCTCCAAGTGTGGGTGCAATTTTCTGACCTCGCCTTCAGCGAAAAGCACACAGAGCACAGCAGAGAGAAAACAAATATAAATTATTTAAAAGACCTTAACATAATTTTCCCTTGGAGGAGAAAAAAAGGGATTCCCATATGTGACAGATGCTAGTCATGTTACTTTGTGCACTCCTGGAAGGTGCTCAGATAGCACAGTGATGTGGGAGATATAAGATTGGAATGGAATACAAACAAAACACTGGATGCTGAGTCCACCCCAAGGGCCAGCTCTGGTTTCTTACTAATGCTTCCTAAGGAAGGAATAACTGACCAATTAATCAGAATTCCAAGTTTCCGCTTTCTAAACTACTGGACTGCCCCCCCTCCAGGAGGGTAGCACAAACTGATTGAGGATTCTGTGGGTTACCATCCATGGCTTGCACCTCTGACAATTCCAATATCTCTCTCATCACAAGCTGCATGCTCTATTTACTGTAGTAGAGAGAGCCTAGAGCATTAGGCCTGGTGCAAGACCTGAGGCCTGAGCCAGACATTGTGAACCAAAGTCAGGCGATGTACTGAAGTAAATGCCTGTAAGTTCAGTGTCCGGTACATGAACTTGGCACAGGTACTGCTAACATTGCTAAAACACACTGAATATATAAACACGTTCCAGCACCGGCATGTCCCTGCAACTCCTAGCTGGAGGGACTGGGGGCTCTGTGCACTACCCACGCTCACAGGCGCCGCACCCGCAACTGCCATTGGCTGCGATTCCCAGCCAATGGGAGCTGTGGAGTTGGAGCTCGGGGCAGTGCAGGGAGCCCACTGGCCTTCCCTCACCCTAGGAGCTGCAGGAATACGCGGAGCTGGGTAGGGAGCCTGCCAGCCCCGCCAACCCTTCCTCACCCAGCACCAGCGGGGGTCCTGGGCTGCATGCTGTCCGCCTCGCCCCCAGCACCAGCAGGGGTCCTGGGCCCAAGTTTTAGTTTGGGGTATATAGTACAACTCATGGACAGGTCACGGGCCGTGAATTTTTGTTTACTGCCCATGACCTGTCCATGACTTTTAGTAAAAATACCTGTGACTAAAACATAGCCTTAGTTATAGATCATCAAGCCTGTACCCTGGGACCAGTGTATAATTAGTCCAAAAATACAATTCAATATATTATCCAATCCAATTTAAATGTCTCCAGTAATGGGCTTTCCTCCCTTCCCTTGGCAGTTAACGTACAGAAAGGGCTTTGAGATCCCTGGATGAAAGGTACTTCAGATGTGCATAGCATAGCATTCTCCCACAGTATTCTTGCCGCCAAATTAAAGAAGTATGGGCTGGATGAATGGACTGTAAGGTGGATAGAAAGCTGGCTAGATCGTCGGGCTCAACGGGTAGTGATCAATGGCTCCATGTCTAGTTGGCAGCCGGTTTCAAGCGGAGTGCCCCAAGGGTCGGTCCTGGGGCCGGTTTTGTTTAATATCTTTATTAAACAAAATATCTTGCATCCGAAGAAGTGGGCTGTAGCCCACGAAAGCTTATGCTCTAATAAATTTGTTAGTCTCTAAGGTGCCACAAGTACTCCTGTTCTTTTTATCTTTATTAATGATCTGGAGGATGGTGTGGACTGCACTCTCAGCAAGTTTGCAGATGACACTAAACTGGGAGGCGTGGTAGATACACTGGAGGGTAGGGATCAGATACAGAGGGACCTAGACAAATTAGAGGATTGGGCCAAAAGAAACCTGATGAGGTTCAACAAGGATAAGTGCAGAGTCCTGCACTTAGGATGGAAGAATCCTATGCACTGCTACAGACTAGGCACTGAATGTCTAGGTAGCAGTTCTGCAGAAAAGTCCCTAGGGGTCACAGTGGACAAGAAGCTGGATATGAGTCAACAGTGTGCTCTTGTTGCCAAGAAGGCTAATGGCATTTTGGGCTGTATAAGTAGGGGCATTGCCAGCAGATCGAGGGACGTGATCGTTCCTCTTTATGCGACATTGGTGAGGCCTCATCTGGAGTACTGTGTCCAGTTTTGGGCCCCACACTACAAGAAGGATGTGGAAATATTGGAAAGAGTCCAGCGGAGGGCAACAAAAATGATTAGGGGTCTGGAGCACATGACTTATGAGGAGAGGCTGAGGGAACTGGGATTGTTTAGTCTCCAGAAGAGAAGAATGAGGGGGGATTTGATAGCTGCTTTCAACTACCTGAGGTGTGGTTCCAAAGAGGATGGAGCTCGGCTGTTCTCAGTGGTGGCAGATGACAGAACAAGGAGCAATGGTCTCAAGTTGCAGTGCGGGAGGTCTAGGTTGGATATTAGGAAACACTATTTCACTAGGAGGGTGGTGAAGCACTGGAATGCTTTACCTAGGGAGGTGGTGGAATCTCCTTCCTTGGAGGTTTTTAAGGCGCGGCTTGACAAAGCCCTGGCTGGGATGATTTAGTTGGGAATTGGTCCTGCTTTGAGCAGGGGGTTGGACTAGATGACCTCCTGATGTCCCTTCCAACCCTGATATTCTATGATTCTATGATTATCAGGGCTTGAAAAATCCATTTGCCAGTAGGGAGCAGGAAATTTTCTCTGTGGAGAGGGGATAGTGTGAGAAGCATAATCTTCTGCAGAATTTACTCTTTCATGCAAAACAAAACAAACAAAAAAAACACTCCTTATGCTGAGAAGATAACCTTCCAGATATGAATTGTACAGTCTTCCTGAGTCTGCAGACAGATGCAAGATTACTGCTGCTCATAGCCTTCCCAAGAGGCTGCAGCAGGAGACTGAAATCAACATCATTGCTGATAATTTTACTGCTGACCGAAAGAGTTCTGCACAGTAGCCACGAGCCAGTATCTTTGTCAATTCCACACTGTGGCTGTCTGGGAAAGCAACAAAGGTAGACACTGGAGTTATCCACATGGGAGTAGGACCCAAAGAGAGGCTGGGGAAGTGGCAGAGCCAGGAGAGCGGGGATGGGAAAAATAGTGGCCCAACCCCTTCGCTATTCCCAGGTGAAAGCTGCTTCTCCCTTCCAGCAGCCAGAGATAGTTGGAAGGCGGGGAGTAAGAGTCTGTGTGCTTCAAATCAAACACTCGCCTACTAACCAGAGGCTTATATGAAAAACTGAGTCCTCAGACTGGATCTAGAGAGAACACCCAAGCAGGAATTCCAGTATCTTCCTAGCAGGTGAGTACAGTGGTAAGGGGCACAGACTTCTTGCCAGGGCACTTTATGCTAAACCCCAAGTCCTTCCCCTTTGCCCAGTAGGGATAGTCCTCTGGCACATCTGCAGTTTCTGAATATTAAATATTACCACCAAGTTTTCTCCAGGGGTTTTAAAAAATGGATCAGTATGCTCAGTCTCCTACACCAACTACTCATTGACTATGTTTAGAACAAGGTAGCTCCATGAGAGCTCGCTTACCATTCAATTAGATTATTATAGGCAACAACACTGTTCTTCAGGTAAGGCTGTGGGTTAACATTGCTTCCGAAGGCGTATTTGAAATGACCATCTCTCAGGCGATAGGCTTTCCTCCTAGATACTACAGATGCCAGGATATCCTTAAGGTGATTCTGTAATGACAAACCTTACCTTTACCATTTGTGGAGCATGCTCTCAAAACTTTACAATAGTGTCACATAGGCCTGTTTATCCCTTCCACCTAGATACTGCTGCAATCAGTACATCACAAATGCCATTGGTCATATATAGAGACATAGTTTCATAACTATTCATTTTAGTCTATTAACAGGTGGATTCTGTTATATGGATAGCTTCCATTATTAGAGGCACAATCTGGCAATGTTATTTTAAAGGAAGTGCATTTAGTAGAGGATGATACAAATAGCATCCCCCTGCATCACATATCTGGAAAAGGACGTATTTTATAGTTTTGTACTAAATCTGAAAAATCAATCAATCAAGATAGCCCTGGAAAAAAAAAAAAAACAGATCTCCAACCCAAATAAAAATCCTAGTTCCTCAGGAGGGCAACCCAATCAAAACAAAGCCAGCGTGCTGATTTACTTGCTATCACATGTTCATGTGTTTCTCTTCCTGATTTATTTCTGCAAATCAGTAGGGTACCAAACTTCACGGGAGCCTGCCTTCAGACAGCAGGATTGGTGTAAATTTCATTAACCTATTTGTACACAAAGCAGAACAAGCACAGGAAACGGAGCACTGTGTGCATCTGCCTGTGAACTGAAACTTACAGCTCTAATTTGAGCTCTCCTGGTACCAACCTTAAAAATGTCTTTTAAATGTCAGGAAATTCCCACCATTAACTAGCACACTGTGGTAGAGGACAAGAAAGGGTTTCATAATCAGCATCAGACAGTTCATGGGAATATTGCACTTAAAGCTATTCTGAAAGCCACACTGTTTTTATTAAGGGCTGGCCTTACTTCTGAGGTGAAACTGCTGGAGAGGGTGTGAAGGGGTGGAAAGAACAAGCAGAAAGTTGCTCCCGCATCTGGTCCTATTGACGGATCGGGAGATCAGACTGGCCTCTGAGTCCTGAGTCTGCTGTGTAAGCCCCCAGAAGCACAAGCCCTAAGTAGTTGCTTGCAGTGCTTGGACCTGGTCTTGAGAGATGCTAATCGCCATAACTCCCATAGAAGACAATGGGAATTGCATGTAATCAGCACTTCAGGTTTGGGCACTATATGATTTATCTACCTTGCTTGAGCTTCAATAGCAGACAAGTTTTACAACAGCTTGATGTGCCTAAAAAGGGACTGTTCAAAACTAATCCTATTGCCTCTGGATATAAATCTGGAGTATAAACCGCTGCTAGCAATGGAATATACATTTTAAAAATCCATCATAATTAAAGAAATCTTTTAGTTTAAAAGCTGAAGGTCCAACTTTTCAAACTCAGCTTCTAAAATTATGCCTACAATTTTTCACTTTTGCAAATTATATTTTTGTATGCACGAATCCAAGATCCTTTGTGTGTGCCAAGACTCTGATCTGAAGAGCTGCAAGAATAAAACTTTCAGTGCCAGTTTGGGAGGCCCCTTTGAAACACATGGCGTGGATTCTCATAAGTCACCTGTAAATATAGTGAAGCTATTTTCCTCTCACACACTGTAGTGCCCCACCATATACCATATACAAAGCCTTTTGTTAGTAGCATAATCAAAACCACATCATTAGTTTGTCTTTTCTAACCTGCACAGCATAGACAATAGCCGTCACTGCCTCTTCGGTGACATTGTCTAGCCCGTGCTCATATGCAGTGACTATCATCCTTCCTTCTAGCTGGCCCCGCGTGGGAAGCATCATTGTATGGGAACACAGCTTCAAATCATCATCTTCTTGAGGATCCTTTGCCACAAACTGCTGGGCTCCAGACAATGGATTCTGAGGCTGGAATCGGTGCTGTCAGACAAACACACTTTTCATTTAAAAACTACTAATTCCAGCACTGAATACAGCTTTCAGGGGAGATGTGGAATTGAGGTCCTGAATTTACATGGTCATTAAACAAGGCACTTTTCATAAGAGAATAGGGATTTTAAGCATAGCAGTCTAGTTGGGTTCCAACTTCAGTTTTTATATTCTGCCTGTCTTAAATTTACCTGAGACAAGGTGAGTGAGGTAATATCTTTTATGGGACCCACTTTTGTTGGTGAGAGAGAAACTTTCAAGCCATACAGAACTTGAAAGTTTGTCTCTCTCATCAACAGAAGTTGGTCCAATAAAAGATATGACCTTACCCACTTTGTCTCGCTAATATCGTGGAACCGACACGGCTACAACTACACTTCAATTTACCTTACCTTTTCAACTTAACATTGTTGCGTGCTGCTAAACAGCTGGGTGTTCCCCCTCAGAAGCAGCTGTTTTTCAGTCATCCCAAAATATCAGATGTCATCCCAAAATATCAAATGCTTAATTAGTTAATGTTTGTAAAGACATCCTCGGATAGAGGGGGTTATAAAAGCTTTATACAAAACTACAAAGAATAACCATATATCTAACCAACATTTATTTAAAACTGATGGAAAAAATATTACCACTAATGAGTGGGAAGTTGTTCTGCTACTTTTGAGGACTTCAGCTTTCATTTGGTTGCAAAGATATAACCTTCAAAATGTAACTGATTCTGCAAACAGAGAACATATGCCTTTGGAAAGCAGAAGCAAAGTGGAATTAATATGAAATCTGGTAATTTCACAGCTGTTACTGGGACCTTTCTGGGTAGCAATGAAATTGTGTCAATTTCATGCTGGTGAGGAATACTAATAGCAGGGTCAGGCACAGAAGTTATTCATGGGGCAGGGGAAAAAAAGAAAAAAGAAAGGTGGGGAAGGGATAGAGTAGAAGAGACTTCTGTTCCCCTTCCCTCCTTGCAGCAGAGAGGTTGTCCTTTTGAGAGAGCGAGTGGAGCATTAACAGAAATCAACTCTCTCAGCAGTATTTTGGTGTCAACTGAACATCTTAACTCTAATGGGATTATTAACTTCACTACCAAAATTCATCCTGATAAAACCTTAATACAGTACTACACTATCATACATTCCTGAAAAAAAATGCACATCTACAGTATATATACACACATTCACATTTTTTAAACAAACCAAGTTTTAAGTCCATCACCAGACATATGTATTACTCAGTTAATCAGATTCTCATAATTGCTTAGTGCGAAGAGATTACTGAGAATTTTTATAAATGAAGATACTACAGATTATCTGAATATGCATTGCTGTTACAGTCTCAGCCAAAACAGGATGAATAGTAAGAAATATTGTCTGAATCATTGTGGCAATTTCTAAATACAATTCTACTTCCACTGGGTTCACAATTCTTTAAAACCGCTGTTTGTAAAGAGTATTACAGTGCCTGATTATACCAGTGTCAAATTTAGTCTCTGGCGTTTATGGGCCCAATTCTCATTCACACTAATGCCTTTTATACCACTCTGGCAGTGTAAAGCAGCCTCCAAGTGGGCCCACTTTACAGACCCTTTAGAATGCCAGAGTAATGTAAAAGGGGATTAATGTAAATGAGAACCTGGTCCTATGCGTTTCTCCCCGCACCCCACAGGGAAAAGGCTAGGCAGAGAAGAGGCACTCTGAATATTTTCCCTTAAGAACTTGGAGCCCTTTAAGAGTGGTCTGTTTAAAAAAGTGTTGCACCCATCCAGACAGCCCAAAGCAATATGGAGTTGGCTAGCCCAACCAGGCTCACACAGCAAGTCAATTTGAGAAGAAGGGGTAAGCACAATGGTAACTATAATATATGGAACCTTTTGCTTCATGAAGCACTTAGCTTTTTAAAGTCAACAAGAGATCGGGGCAGCATGAAATTATAAATATCTGGACTAAAAGAGATTTGTCTGGTAATTACACTTGAATACTTATTGCTTTAATAATCAGTGGTTCCCAAACTGGGGTTTGGGTTCACGAAATGTTACAGGGGGTTCCCAGGAAAAAAATCCCTAATGCCGGACAGAGCTGTCCCTAGGGATCCTGGGCAGCACGGGGCCAGCAGCCAGAGCCCCTGGACTTCCAAGAGCTAAGCAGATCAAAGCAAGCATATCTATCACACTGAGGAGATTTAAACTTCAAGACTCCTTATAAGAAATGGAAAGGGAGGTGGATATTTTTTGCTGTTCTTAAAATTAAATAGGCAGCTAGTATTGTTTTTAAAATTATTATGAAGAACAAGTTTAAGCTTTGTTGTAACGTGCATTGTTTGTCTGGACTGCTCAAGCCCCGAATGCTTGTGTAGGAGGAACTCTTTGGATTGGCTTCTTAAATACCTTCAAGCGGTTTCACATCTGATACTCCTTGATGAAACATAGGAGCCTTGTCTTATAACATGCTTATTCAAAGTTATACAAGCTACAAAAGTGAGATCATGGAAGAGTGTTGCCGTTTTCATAATGTAATACATAAGAACATAAGAATGGCAATACTGGGTCAGACCAAAGGTCCGTCCAGCACAGTATCCTGTCTACCGACAGTGGCCAATGCCAGGTGCCCCAGAGGGAGTGAACCTAACAGGTAATGATCAAGCGATCTCTCTCCTGCCATCCATCTCCACCCTCTGACAAACAGAGTCTAGGGACACCATTCCTTACCCATCGTGGCTAATAGCCATTAATGGACTTAGCCTCCATGAATTTATCCAGTTCTCTTTTAAACGCTGTTATAGACCTAGCCTTCACAACCTCCTCAGGTAAGGAGTTCCACAAGTTGACTGTGCGCTGCGTGAAGAACTTCCTTTTATTGGTTTTAAACCTGCTGCCTATTAATTTCATTTGGTGACCCCTAGTTCTTGTATTATGGGAATAAGTAAATAACTTTTCCTTATCCACTTTCTCCACATCACTCAATTTTATATACCTCTATCATATCCCCCCTTAGTCTCCTCTTTTCCAAGCTGAAAAGTCCTAGCCTCTTTAATCTCTCCTCATATGGGACCCTCTCCAAACCCCTAATCATTTTAGTTGCCCTTCTAGTGCCAGTATATCTTTTTTGAGATGAGGAGACCACATCTGTACGCAGTATTCAAGCTGTGGGCGTACCATTGATTTATATAAGGGCAATAATATATTCTCCGTCTTATTCTCTATCCCCTTTTTAATGATTCCTAACATCCTGTTTGCTTTTTTGACCGCCTCTGCACACTGCGTGGACATCTTCGGAGAACTATTCACGATGACTCCAAGATCTTTTTCCTGATTTGTTGTAGCTAAATTAGCCCCCATCATATTGTATGTATAGTTGGGGTTACATTTATCCACATTAAATTTCATTTGCCATTTTGTTGCCCAATAACTTAATTTTGTGAGATCTTTTTGAAGTTCTTCACAGTCTGCTTTGGTCTTAACTATCTTGAGCAGAACAACTATCTTGTTCTTATATTATGGGAACAACTAAATAACTTTTCCTTATTCACTTTCTCCACACCACTCATGATTTTATATACCTCAATCATATCCCCCCTTAGTCTCCTCTTTTCCAAGCTGAAAAGTCCTAGCCTCTTTAATCTCTCCTCATATGGGACCTGTTCCAAACCCCTAATCATTTTAGTTGCCCTTTTCTGAACCTTTTCTAATGCCAGTATATCTTTTTTGAGATGAGAGGACCACATCTGTACGCAGTACAGACACATGTTTGTTGACCCCTTCAAAGAACTCTATTAGATTAGTAAGACATGATTTCCCTTTACAGAAACCATGTTGACTTTTGCCCAACAATTTATGTTCTTCTATGTGTCTGACAATTTTATTCTTTACTATTATTTCAACTAATTTGCCAGGTACTGACGTTAGACTTACCGGTCTGTAATTGCCAGGATCACCTCTGGAGCCTTTTTTAAATATTGGCATTACATTAGCTATCTTCCAGTCATTGGGTACAGAAGCTGACTTAAAGGACAGGTTACAAACCGTAGTTAATAGTTCTGCAATTTCACATTTGAGTTCTTTCAGAACTCTTGGGTGAATGCCATCTGGTCCCAGTGACTTGTTACAGTTAAGTTTCTCAATTAATTCCAAAACCTCCTCTAGTGACACTTCAATCTGTGACAATTCCTCAGATTTGTCACCTCCAAAAGCCGGCTCAGGTTTGGGAATCTCCCTAACATCCTCAGCCATGAAGACTGAAGCAAAGAATTCACTTAGTTTCTCCGCAATGACTTTATCGTCTTTAAGTGCTCCTTTTGTATCTCGATCGTCCAGGGCCCCCACTGGTTGTTTAGCAGGCTTTCTGCTTCTGATGTACTTAAAAAACATTTTGTTATTACCTTTTGAGTTTTTTGGCTAGCTGTTCTTCAAACTCCTTTTTGGCTTTTCTTATTGCATTTTTACACTTAATTTGGCAGTGTTTATGCTCCTTTCTATTTACCTCACTAGGATTTGACTTCCACTTTTTAGAAGATGCCTTTTTATCTCTCACTGCTTCTTTTACATGGTTGTTAAGCCACGGTGGCTCTTTTTTAGTTCTTTTACTGTGTTTTTTAATTTGGGATATACATTTAAGTTGAGCCTCTATTATGGTGTCTTTGAAAAGTGTCCATGCAGCTTGCAAGGATTTCACTCTAGTCACTGTACCTTTTAATTTCTCTTTAACTAACCTCCTCATTTTTGCATAGTTCCCCTTTCTGAAATTAAATAACACAGTATTGGGCTGTTGAGGTGCTCTTCCCACCACAGGAATGTTAAATGTTATTATATTATGGTCACTATTTCCAAGCAGTCCTGTTATAGTTACCTCTTGGACCAGATCCTGTGCTCCACTCAGGACTAAATCGAGAGTTGCCTCTCCCCTTGTGGATTCCTGTACCAGCTGCTCCAATAAGCAGTCATTTAAAGTATCGAGAAATTTTGTCTCTGCCTTTCGTTTGATTCTAATAAAAATACTGTAATGATAAATAATAATTAATAATAAATAGTGTGTAATAAGCATGTCATAAAAACAAATTTTATATTTCCAAGGTCACTGCTTTTATCATTTATACTCAGGTAAAGGAGAAAATTGGAAATATTCATTTTTAGGAGAGGGTTCGTGAGACTTGACATTTTAGTGAAAGGGGTTCACAGGTTGTTAAAGTTTGGGAACCACTGCTTTAATACAAACACTTCTGCTGGAATGAGGTAAAGCATCTTAGCCATCCCGGCTAACAAAGGGACCATTTACTGCTCACAAGTTGCCAGCTCTTCATTTCTAGAGTGTTTAGCAGAGCTGAGACCCTTTGCAGAATATAAACTTACATCAAACTTCTGCCGAACTGAAGAAAACTTTTTCTTTCCTTTGGGTTTTCCAGGTTTAGTTGCAGAACCACCCGTCCACGGCAGAGGCCCAGGACCCTCTGAAAATAGGAGAGAAGGAAAAAAAGTGGGGAAGGGAAGGTCACTCCCATTTGTAGCCAATATACTTTAGTTCATACATTTAAAAACAAGACAAAACCCACAAGGTTCTGGCACCTCTGAAGACCACTTCCATCCTTTCCAATTTAAGTGCATGTGCCATTTCTATTTTACACTATTTGGCTTGTTACAATTCTCGACTACTAAAACCATGTATCTGAGCAATAATTCTATTACTTCAGAGGGAAATTATCTGAACTATATTGTGCTTTTCTTGCAACGTGTTTTTAAACTGCAATAGATGCATGAGGCTATCACAAAGGCACAGGTATATAATGGCTAAGACAATATTACAGCTACCTAAAAGGACATGGCAGGCACTGTATTGGTGGATGACTTCTGTAGATAGTTATTAAGCAGTACGTCAAGATACTTGAGAAGCATAGTTAAAGTCAGACCCTGCAGAGTTCCAAGTGACTCCTGAGAGGTGTTAAGCATGCTCATCTCCTGTAGAAGAGCTGAGCTGAGACTGCTCTGACCCTCACAGAATTGGGCCCTAATTGTTCAGGTATGTCCTGTATGTGCTATTATGCAAATTACAAAATCATATAAAGAAAAAAGCTAGATATGTGTTCACTGGGTTTTAGTGATGATAATTACCTTGAAAGTTCTAGAGTCTCCAGACTGTTCAACATATTTCACAGAGCTATCTCACATGACATGAGTCTGACCAAGGAATTAGTGCTTGGAATTTCCCTTTCTAATCCTGTAGCGGCATACAAATGTCTACACCCAGAAAGAGCTTTTCAGTTTAAAAACAATGACCTAAACTTTTGAGGATAACAGTATGTGGGGAAACATCTTACAGAACTCAAATTATATTGGGGGATGGAAAAAATACCAGATATTGCATTGTCTGTTAATGCTTGTTAATGAATCCTTTACATACCTAGGATTTCATATTTTCTTACTTCCCCAGAGAAATAGCTGCCCCAAGGAGTAAGAGCTCCATATATACCCTCAAAAACACATGGATTTCTTGGCACAGTAGTCCCAATACTACTGACACCAAGGAGCTCGTACCAATGGTGTTGACTTGGAAGAATTACTAATAAGAGAATAAAATGTATTTTAAAAACAATTTTCTACACCCAAATCATTTCATATTTCCTCACCCAAAAAGAAATTGTTTTTAGACAAAAGGAAGTCACCAACTAAAGTTAAATATAGAATTCTTAAACCAAGCTGGGGTTGTACACTCACAGACTAGACGTTTCTCTCTATGCAACACAACAGAGCAACCTTAACTCTTCTAGTGGAAGGGGAGGGAAAGAGTAGAGCATTGCAGGGAAGCTACGAAGATAGAACGAAGTTGCTCGGGGCCATAGAGGCAGAGGTTTTGGTAGGCAGGATGATGCGTATCATTCAGGCCCTCTCACTAGCACCCCGTCCCACTTCTCCACACACATGCAGCGCAGCAGACACTACCTCTGTGCTTAAAGTATTTAAATGTGTTATTGTTTAAGCATTAAAAGTAGCACTGGGATGAACTGTGCTGCTAGGCCCTCCTCTAGCAAAGCAGTTAAGCACATGAAGAATCCCATTGTATCTCATGTGTTTAAAGATAAAGCACCTTAAAGAATCTTTGCATATTTCAGATGAGACTTAAAACAAGGTCCGGATCACATGTGGTCCTTAAAGATCCCATGACATTCTTTTTAAGAGTAGGGGTCTCGGTGTCAGCATTCTGGCCATATTCCAACTCTAGGAATTATGGACAGCCTAAATAAATTCCCTCTACATTTTCAGTTCTAAAAAGGTACTCTTCATGTTCAGTTGTGTAGCACTGTTGTGTTCTACTTGACAGTTGCCATACGTCACCCCCAGAAATGCTACATTTCACTAACAGAGCCATCCTTGACTATAGTTTGTAAGTCATTTTGAAATGAGAGGGATTGTTAAGCATAATATAGATACATCTTTTACTGAAGAGATTGTTTGACATTCTGGAGTTTTGTAAGAAAGATTGTCATGTCCTAACACAGCATGTACTATTAGCCTTTCAATATCCAGTGCCTGGCAGGTATTCAATTCCAATTAAGGCAACAACAAAGTTCAATTTGAAGTTTATGGGCAGACTTGCTGAAAGGTAAATTTGCAGCAATGTATTGGTCCAATGCTTGGGGCCAGATACCAATCCCCTTACTCACACTTGAACAGTATCCAATGCCACAAGTGGTGGACAACTTTATGGAGTAAAGTTCTACCCAGGATGGGTGAGGGTATCAAAGTCTGGCTCATTGGGTCTTACTGAAGTCAGTGTAAGTCTTTCCATTGACTTTAATAAGCACTAGATCAGGCCCTTCATAAACAAAGGTCATATTCATCCTTAAAGGGCAGGGGAGTATGAAAGAAGTTGCAGAAGAAATAGACCTAGGAAGCAGACAGAGAGCTAGCAACCGTGTGGAACTGAGGGAAGGATGAGGAAGGACCGAGTGAAACCAATTGCAGCAAGGATGGTTGTTATGCGATATCACACCAGGAGGTCTGGCCAAGCAGCCCAATTGGATAACTCCTCAGGAGTAAGCTACTTGTACTTCCATTGCCACTGCTGGCCAGACCAATATTATAGACTTTATAATCCCACATACCCTTGGCAATGGGAATCCTGTAGAGTTCAGTCAGTATCTCCTATTAAAATGTTCACAGAATCTTGTACATCAGCTCCCACGCCATTATTTTTGGGGGAGGTTTGATCTGATGGATTTTTTCATTCACTCGTAGTACTATCAGGCACCTGCCCTGCCCCTAGTTTGAGCTCTCTGGCTGACTGTGCAGCTCCCACTAATGGACAAAGATTTGGATTGCTTCCTGGGAGGTAAGGGCTGCCCAGCTCTCTCATGATAATCTGTCTAATACGCAGCCAAACCTCTCCTTTATGTTTCCTCTGCAAACATCTGCACCCCCAATGCTGTTCAGGGAAATAACATTGCCCCTCCTTCAGGCTTTCAGTATTCTGCTGTGATCATTTTGTTTTATTAAAGAAAACAAACAAAAATACAGAAAGGTAGATGATTTACCACACATTTCACAGGATAGCCAATAAAATTATGCAGTTACGCAACTATTAGCTTGTCAAAGAGCAGACAATATAAAATTGGACAATATCACACAGACGCTAGGGTGGGGTTAACAATACTGTGACCATTATTTGACTACAGGGAAGTTACTGGAAATGGTGTTTAAAGATATGTCAGAAACCAAGGAAAGCTTTTTGAATTTCAAAGTTATGTTAGGGAGAATTTGGCAGCTCGGGAAAAATCTTTGAAAGGTTTTACACCTGAAGTCCCCCCATTTGTATCTCGTAGCCCAAACAGGGTATTTGGCATTTTTTCTGATTCAGAAGAGCTGGGCTGTTTCAGTCTTGGCTCCACATCTCAGAATATAGAGCATGAATGTACGAGAAGGGTAATGCCAATACTCAATCAATTCCTGCTATTCCCTCCCACACCTTAGAAGGTTAGAGAGAAGCCTCTTGTGAGATATCCCAACCTTTCAACCTGGCTTAAGAGGAAGTATTCCAGATTTAAAATTAAGAAATCCTAACCCTAACTGGGCTTTGGCACTGGTTTTTAATAATGGTTCTAGGGACAAGGGAAAGTCACAGCCTGACTGCAGCACCATATATGCATGATTAATACACTACTCACTCCAATTTCCGCTCAGAAATCAAACTCTAAAAATACCAAGGCTTTCTAATGTAGGATGACAAGAGAGAGTGGTGTGGAATAATTCGGGGGTGGGGTGGGGGGTTTACATGTATGAACATTTTGATTAAGCTTAGAGAAGAAGATATTTGTAAACTACCAGATAAGGCAGATGTTAGTGTAACAAATGGCTCCTTGGCTCCCTAATCTAAAGGCCATCCATAAGTCAAGAATATTTGGAAATTTTGAACAGCTAAGGAGGGCCTTTATGGCTCTTTGTTTTCAAACAATGCAGTTGGTTTATTTGGAAAGTATGTACACTGGCAATGAGAGGCACAATCACTTTTGCCCAGGAGGGCCTGGCCAGGTTGAAGATTTGCCACATTACATACAGTACTATCATATAACGTTTGAGGGGGGAAAAAAAGTCTATCTCCAATCTTGGCCCTGAAGCCTTTTGCATCATTAACTCAAGAATTAGTATGGGTGTTATAGAGCAGTATTGTTTCAGTTATACAGCCAGTTGTCCTATTTGCCCACTCAGTAAAAATAATAGACTGTGAAATTAATGCTCTTTATGATGTAAATAGATCGATTTGCTTTAACACCTCTAATTTTGTTTCTGCATGTTGTTTTATGAGCTATTTTTAAAATGTCAGTTGAATTTAGGAGAAAGATTGAATGTGGTTTTTTGTATTTTGAGAATTTTAAAATTGATATTTGTTTCATTAAGCATCATGGCTAATTGCTAAATCTGAGTTTGCTGGGTGCTGCTGTTTATTTCAGGATGTGCTCATTTCTCTAGGATTTTCTACAGTTTATCAAGGATCTCAGAGCAGTTACTCTTTACCTGCTTAGCATGTAGGCTAGTCATAGTTTGGCTTCTATAGTATTCCTAGGACATTTTCTTTACTTCTCTCACCCTTAGCAGACCACCTGTTTTATTCCTACAAGCCCCCACCCTTGGCTCAATGTTAGCGGGGCAGAGAGGGAAAAGAAGCTGAATATGAAAAACAAGAATTTCATTATTATCACAGATATCCAAGTGCCTGATGATCCTCTTTACTGACCGAATTCTAAATCAGGATCCTGAAGAACCTCCATAGTATTTTCCAGGAGGGCTGAATCTATGTGGCAGTAACATAACCAGTTGGAGATCACTATCTGATTTCCTAATGCTTCCAGACAATTACAGCAACGTTAGCTAAAGGCCTATCCTTTCAACACATCAATCCTGTTTTCTCCACTGTCATTTGGATGTTTAGTTATGGAACTTGGAGCTTCACATTGCCAAGATTATTTTCCCTTGCAGTTACAGACAACTATAGGTCACCTTCTGATTGTGTAAAATCCCCAAGCAAATCTCTGGGTTAAAAAGTGTTCCTTGGGCCAGTGTTCTTGATCATACAGGTTCCCTTCAACAAAAAGTAGGCAAGTAATCCCAACTCTATTCAGCTGAGCACTTATTTAACTTTAAGTACATGCTTAAATTCTGTTGAAGCTGATGGGCCTTAAAGTTAAGGATTTAAGCACCTGCTTAGTGTTTTGCTACTATGAGGGGGAGTCTCTACAACCTAATATTTTGTTTCCAGTTTCCTCTTAATTTTCTTGAGACTCGTGCCCTTAAAAGGTATTCTAACACACAGTATTCTAGCACTTAATCATCAGGTCCATATTAAAGGCTTCAAGTATTAGGGCACTGAAGTAATGAACCCCATCTGTGTGATGGACTCTGTTGTTCACCCACTCATTTTACAGCTACTTCCTCCGGCATGCTCTTGCTTTGTGCTGCACAGACCACATCAGGCTTTGCCATTTTTCTTTATTCTTTCCACAGGTCTGTTATTATACCTATACACTTGGCTTGCATTCTTCTGACCTATAGCCTCGGATGACCAGTCACAAGCCGTACATTATAGTGCTAGGTCAGCATTTGGATGGGAGACAGAATGCAAGTGCTCTTCACTTTGTAGAATAAGCCAGTATTCTAGTCGATTTAGAAGGTAACACGTTGTTCTTTTGTAGAAGGCATAAGACTGAACTGTAAACATTGAGAATCTTTAGAAGCACAAAGTAAGGAAGTCTTGGGAAGGTCAGAAATTAAGAGAGGGGGTAGAGGGAGTGAGTATGGTATATCATGAGGAAAAACAGTAGTGAAGAAAAAGAAAAGAGCCACAGCTGTTCAAAAACACAGCAGTCTTTTTACTGAGCAAGACAGGCTACCAAGAGCACATCATACAGAGCCATAGTTCTTTGCATTAGCTCAGACTTGAAGACAGCAGCAAGGTCAAGATTTCAGTTCTTATCCTCAAAAAAGCCTTTATATAAGTAACCCCAGCTATGCTGAGAGACTGTTCTCACTCTTTTCAATCATGACAGCTGAATTCCACTACAACTGGGAACCTCGAGAGAGAGAGAGAGAGAGAGAGAGAGAGAGAGAGAGAGAGTTTGCTTAGCAGATTGATTTCAAGTGTGGAACACAAGCCTGGAAGCAATCAACAATACCAGACCTCCCTGCTGTCAGATTGAAGCATAAAACCTCTCTCTAACCTGCCTTTTCCAACAATTTAAAAAAATTATTAGTGAATAGGGAGAAGCCAGAAATTCTCTAAAAATAAATGCATTAGAATTGGCAAGGCACTTAGAGAGGATGAGTGCAGTTGTACTGCCTTCATAGACAGATGATATGATTCCATGTGTTGCTACTAAGCCCTTCTGCCACTATTCCCTCAATCAGGTTTTATGCAAACAGATTCATATAATGTTAAGCCTGGATATTTTAAAGTTGAAACAATATCAGCAGATTCAGAGCCAAGGAGGCTCTAGCAACATTAACTGCTCCTTTGAGCACGTGTGTTACCACACACAAATCCATATGATGTAGCTGTCATCTAGTGTAATATTAAGGAACTGCATCTCTTTCCATAACTAGAGGTGCTTAGAAGTAGCGTTATAAGTGACAGCATGTGTTCATTTTACTAATTTCTAGAGCACAACTTGTACTTATTGCACACATTGAAGGGAGCAGTATTAGCACATGAGGCGCTTTAATGGCTACTCCTGTTCAGTTCAAGACTTGCCAACTTCACATTAGCAGGGGTTTTTTGACAACCGATCCACTGCAGACCTAGCCAGCTTCTAGCCTTGTTAACAAAGGCAACAAGCTGAGAAAGAGGACAGAGCTGCTTCACTCCAGGCTTGCACTGCTTTCCATAGGGGCAGCAGAGTACAGTCAAACCCCAGCAAAAGGAAGGTGGTGGCATTTGCGACTTTTCCAACACACATTATACAGCAGCAAGAGCAGAGAGAGAAAAAGAAACATACTAACAGAGATGAAGCTACAAGGATATCGGTTATAGAAAAGAACCCGCCCATACTGTTTATTTCTTTAATTTATTTGTTTTTCAGTATTTTATTTTCTTGGCCAGAAGAGAGACGGACAAATGGTTAGGAGAATCGCTCTGATCACTCTCTTCGGTTTTCAGCTGTCGCTTTATTCCCATTTCTTTCTTTCTCACACATTTCTTCTTTTCACTTCTCCTCCTCTCTTTGGAGGCAAATGGGACATGGTCAACCCATCCCTGTGTGTCAGACTTGGTGGCCCTTAAATCAAAACGCGTTGCCAACCCTGAATAATTAATAAAAAAATGTTATCCAGTCTCAGGTGTAGATGACTATAGCTCCAAGTCTTCGTCAGCCCAAGATTACTGAAAAAGAAATTGGGGCTCTATAGAAGCCAGGATTAGCTAAAAACCAACTAATTGCTTTGCTCATCAAGATGCTCATCAGAGACCCTATAAACTGAATGTACATTTCAGTAGGATTTCCTGGGGGAGAAAACACAAGCATGTGAAAGCAAAAACACAGTTCTTGAAAGTCTTCCTAGGAACAAAAACACTGACGGAGGCAATTTCCACAAGCTAAGTACCCTCAGGGGTCTAACAAGAATCTTCCCTGAAATCAGCAATCTGGAACAGAATGTGAGCAGCTCTACCGTGGTTCTTATTATTAATACAGAGTACTCATGTGATGTTTTGTCTGTCTAGGTACTTACACAGCGCCTGTCACTGTAGTATCTAAGTGCCTCCCAATTTTTTATGGATTTATCCTCACATCACTCCTCTGAGGTGGAGAAGTGTTTTCCCCAGCTGTAAAATGGGGATAAGGGGGTACTGAGAAATGAAGGACCAGATTTTCTAAGTGTACTTGCTCAGCACCAAGCAGCTCCTATTGTTCTCAGACGGAGCTGTCAAGTGCTGTGCAAACCCTTATTAAAAAAAATCTGGCCACTCATTTAGGTGCCTAAACAGGAGCTGAGATCCCCCCTGGACCAGGCCCTGAGCCCTACCTGCCCAATGTTACACATGACAACATCTGTGTCACTCCTAGGAAATGGAACCCAGACCTGCAGAGTCCCACTCCTCTGCCTTGTCCTTTTTGAAAGGATAGTCGGGCTGTGGTTAAGTCTGTCTGGTTTTATTCAGAAGGTTTAGATTATAAAACAAACCAAGTGCAACGTATTTGCTGCAGCCATCCCAATGGAAGAAAAAAAAAAAAAAATATCAAGCGAGAAGCTGCAGAAGTTACATGGAGAACTTTTGGTGTTCAGTTAGCCAGGTTCGATTGTATTATGCAGTCAGCATAAACAATACAGCAGGCTCAGCACAAGACCCTAAGATGCCGGTCCCTGAACTTTCTAGCAGTCTCAAACTCGTATTCTAATTTGCAGTTTGAATCACTTTCACGCAAAGGGTCTTGTGGCTAAGTTTTTGGTCCATCCTTTCAAAATCCATTCTGGTGTCAGCAATACTGAAACTCACTAGACACCACAGAGCAGCATAACACCAGACATAATGTGAGAGCTGCAGGGGCTTAACAGAAGGATATTAAATTTATTGGCAACATTTTAATTAAAACTTTACAACTAGAAGCTTCCCGTCCTCCCCTCTACTCTGAAGACAGGACAGGGCAAAACAAAACAAAACAAAAAAAAACCCTCTCTCTCTCTCCTAGTGCTGCCTCCCTCCATGAGTCAGAGTTTCAATCTTTCTGACGCAAGGCTGTCAACACCATTCTCACATCATGCCAAGCAGATTGCTGGAGAACATGGAGCAAATCCTCCCTTCACTTGGTGCTGCAGGTTGGTGGGGCACAGAGCACACCACCTTACAGAACTCACAGCCAAAGAAGCATGAGACTAGAAATCAAACCTGGGTCTCCTGCATGGCAATGTAGAGTACTAGTCTTTAGCCAAGTGTGTGAAATCCTTATTTTAGAATACAGATGATCATATTTATATTGCAATAGTAACTAAAGGCCCCAGTCAGGATCCCCACTGTGTCATATGGCACCTAGCTCATATAAGAGACAACATACAATTTAAGACTAAATAAGTCAAGCATATAGCTTAAAAACAAAGCCCACCATAAACACTTCCCAGGGTTGTGCTGTATGATCTATTTTTAAAAACTAATAGTTTGTTCTCTTACCTGGTGCAGAAACCAGGATTTGGCATCGAGTGAGAATAGCCAGGAGGAAATCATTGTGAGAATGGACTGCAAAAAGAAAGAGTTCACTCAGACAGACGCCAGGGGAGAAAGTTTTACTTGAAGACAGATTCACATTAGCAACATGGCAGGCAAAGGCCAAAGGCAGCCACTTGAAGCTACCTTATAAAGTGATTTTGTTTACACCTTCCACAGCCATGTTTTCCCATGCATTCCACTGGCTGCATACACCTCCCAATTGATATCCTTTACATAGGTTTTAGTCTCTCTATGAAATTAGGAGCTGCAAAGGAGAAGGTTCTTATCTCAGCAGTGGTAAGATCATGTGGCCCAAGAGAAGAGGCAAGTTCTAGAGGAGCAGTGGGAGTTATGTAGTCACACTTCATGTGGTTGCATTGGTGTGTAGCAAGCAGCAACTAACCCAGAATGTGGTATTTTGAGAAATGTGGGAAGACAGAAAAAGGGACACTCCTAGGGACGGTCTCTTACCGTTATCTTGGGTGAGGAGTCTGCGAGCTTCCAGATCAAACTCTTCTTTACTGATCTTTTGCTTGAACCAAAGTTTCAAGTTTGCCCAGTATCTGTGCATGGGAGAGAAAACATTAAGCACGGTAAACAACATTGCTTTGCCTACTAAATCTATTCCTTTTCTCCCATATCTTAAATGGACAGTCATTTAGTTCAGGTCCAACATTTAACTTTTTGTATACGTTTTAGAAAAATCTAAAAAAAGCAATGTTTTAATACAACTTCAGTGAAAACAGAGGGTTGCATAAGAACGGCCATATTGGGTCAGACCAAAGATCCATCTAGCCCAGTATCCTGTCTTCCGACAGTAGCCAATGCCAGGTGCCCCAGAGGGAATGAACAGAACAGGTAATCATCAAGTGATCCATCCCCTGTCACCCATTCCCAGCTTCTGGCAAACAGAGGCTAGGGACACCATCCCTGACCATCTTGGCTAATAGTCTTGATGGACATATCCTCCAGGAACTTATCTAGTTCTTTTTTGAACCCGGTTATAGACTTGGCCTTCAGTGTCCTCTGGCAAGGAGTTCCACACGTTGACTGAGAGTTGTGTGAAACAAATACTTCTGTTTGTTTTAAACCTGCTGCCTATTAATTTCATTTGGTGACCCCTAGTTCTTATATTATGAGGAGTAAATAACACTTCCTTATTTACTATCTCCACACCAGTCATGATTTTATAGACCTCTATCATATTCCCCCTTAGTTGTCTCTTTTCCAAGCTGAAAAGTCCCAGTCTTATTAATCTCTCCTTATATGGCAGCCGTTCCATACCCCTAATCATTTTTGTTGCCCTTTTCTGAACCTTTTCCAGTTCCAATATATCTTTTTTGAGATGGGGCGACCACATCTGTATGCAGTATTCAAGATGTGGGCATACCATGGATTTCTATAGAGGCAATATGATATTTTCTGTCTTATTATCTATCCCTTTCTTAATGATTCCCAACATTCTGTTAATTTTTTTTGACTGCTGCTGTACACTGAGTGGATGTTTTCAGAGAACTATCCACAATGACTCCAAGATCTCTTTCAGGGTGAAGGAAGATTAAAATATTTCCCTGCAGTGTTGGTAAGCCAAACAGCATTGTGCTAGTGCCTGATAATCAGAAAGTGGGGGATGACAAAACTAGACCAATCAGTTTCCACTTGTTTTAATAATTTCAGTGAAATACATAATTAATTTTTAACTTTATTGTCACAACCTTAGATTATTAAAGGTTAGGCAGGTTGTTTTTGAAGCAGTCCATCTTCTAAATTGCACAGCATCAGCTAGTTACACCCTTGTGTATTCCAACTGTATTTAGACTTGGTCTGCTACAGACCCCCAGGGTCGGATTTGGATAGAGACCTCTAATATTTTTAATTAAATAAATATTACTAGGAATTGTGTGATTATGGGAGACTTTAATTGCCCAGATATAGATTGGGGGACAAATGCTACTTATAATGGTAGGCCCCAGCTATTCCTGGATGGGATAGCTGACAGATTTATTCACCATATAGTTACTAACCTACAAGACGTGATGCCATTTTAGATTTGGTATTGGTAAGTAGCAAGGTCCTCATAAAAGAATTGGTAGTAGAGTACAACCTTTGAGTGAATGTGAGTTTATCCTTCCATTTAGTTAAAACTGAATTATCAAAAATAGATCAGCAGCTAGGGTCCTGGATTTCAAAAAGGGCAAAAACTTAAAAAAATTAAAAGGAATTAGTTAGGGAAGTGGACTGAAGAACTCCAGGATCTGAAAGTGAAGGGGGTTTGCAGTTATGTTAAATCAAAGTTGCAGAAACTATCTGAAGTCTGCATCCCAAGCAATAGGAAAAAAAATTCATAGGGGAGGATTGCAGACCAAACTAGATGAACAAGCATCTCAAACATGTTATTAAAAGATAGCAGAAAGCCTACAAGGAATGGATCAGCAAGGAAAGCTACCTCTTGGAGGTCAGCAAGTGTAAGGGAAAAAGTGAGACCTGACAAAAGCCAAGCAGAGTTAGACCTTGCAAAGGAAATTAAAACCATCAGTAAAAGGTTCTTTAGCCATATAAATAAAAAGAAAACAAGGAAAGAAGAAGTAGGAACGCTAAGCATGGAGTGGAGTGGAGATTAAAGATAATCTCGGCATGGCCTAACACCTAAACCAGTGGTTCTCAACCAGGGGTACGTAGAGGTCTTCCAAAGGGCATATCAACTTACCTAGATATTTGCCTAGTTTTACAAGACTACATTAAAAACACCTGGCATTGGCCATTGTCGGCAGACAGGATACTGGGCTAGATGGACCTTTGGTTTGACCCAATATGGCCGTTCTTATGGGATAAATTTTAATAGTTCAAATTGCACAGTCATGCATTTAGGGACTAAACAATAAGAATGTTTAATATAAGCTGGGGACGTATCAGTTGGATGCAACAGAGAAGGAGAAAGACCTGGATGTATTGGTTGATCAAAGGATGACTATGAGCTGCCAATGTGATGCAGCTGTGAAAAAGGCTAATGCAACCCTAGGATATATCAGGCAAGCTATTTCCAGTAGAGATAGGATAGTGTTATTACCCTTATACAAGGCAGCAGTGAGACCTCACCTGGAGTACTTTGTGCAATTTTTGTCTCCAGTGTTTAAGAAAGATTAATTCAAACTGGAACAGGTACAGAGAAGGGCTACTATTAGAGGAATGGAGAACGTACCTTACGAGAAGAAACTTAACGACCTAAGCTTAAGGACCTGATTGCCCTCTATGATGAGATAACTGGCACTGTGGACATGGGGAAAGCAGTGGACATGTTAGATCTTGACTTTAGCTAAGCTTTTCATACGGTCTTCCATAGTATTCTTGCCAGCAAGTTAAAGAAGTATGGATTGGCTGAATGGACTAAAATGTGGATAGAAAGCTGGCTAGATCATTGGGCTCAATGTCTAGTCAGCAGCCAGTATCAAGCGGAGTGCCCCAGGGGTCAGTCCTGGGGCCGGTTTTGTTCAACATCTTCATTATCAGGATGATGGGATGGATTGTACCCTCAGCAAGTTTGTGGCTGACACTAAGCTAGGGGGAGAGGTAGATACTCTGGACCCTATCCCTATCCTCCAACGTGACGTAGACAAATTGGATGATTGGGCCAAAAGAAATCTGATGAGGTTCAGCCAGAACAAGTGCAGAGTCCTGCACTTAGGACGGAAGAATCCCATGCACTGCTACAGGCTGGGGACCGACTGGCTAAGCGGCAGTTCTGCAGAAAAGGACCTGGGGAATTACATTGGATGAGAAGCTGTATATGAGTCAACTGTGTGCCCTTGTTGCCAAGAAGGAAAATGTCATATTGGGCTGCATTAGTAGAAGCATTGCCAGCAGATTGAGGGAAGTGATTATTCCCCTCTATTCAACACTGGTGAATCCACATCTGGAGTATTGCATCCAGTTTTGAGCCCCCCCACTACAATCTGTCCACATCCTTTCTGGAGAGAGTCCAGCAGAGGGCAACAAAAATGATTAGGGGGCTAGCGCACATGATTTAAGAAGAGAAGCTGAGGGAACTGGGCTTATTTAGTCTGCAGAAGAGAACAGTGAGGGGGGATTTGATAGCAGCCTTCAACTACCAGAAGGGGGGTTCCGAAGAGGATGGAGCTCGGCTGTTCTCAGTGGTGGCAGATGACAGAACAAGCAGCAATGGTCTCAAGTTGCAGTGGGGACGGTCTAGGTTGGATATTAGGAAATACTATTTCAGTAGGAGGGTGGTGAAGCACTGGAATGGGTTACCTAGGGAGGTGGTAGAATCTCCATCCTTAGAGGCTTTTAAGGCCCGGCTTGACAAAGCCCTGGCTGGGATTATTTAGTTGGTGTTGGTCCTGCTTTGAGCAGGGGGTTGGACTAGATGACCTCTTGAGGTCTCTTCCAACCCTAATCTTCTATGATTCCATGGATTGTCTCACAGAAGCAAACAAATCCTGGGGGGGCGGAAGACAGGATTGCTCTCGATAAATTAGGGCTGTAAAGAAATTAAACAATAATAGAATACCATTTATTTAAATATTTTTGATGTTTTCAAATATATTGATTTCAGTTACCACACAGAATACAAAGTGTACAGTGCTCACTTTATTTTTAATACAGATATTTGCGCTGAATAGTATTTTTCAAGTCACCCAATACAAGTACTGTAATGCAACCTCTTTATCATGAAAATTGAACTTACAAATATAGAATTGTTAAAAAAAAATAACTGTATTCAAAAATAAAAATGTAAAACTTTGGAGCCTACAAGTCCACTCAGTCCTACTTCTTACTCAGACAATCGCTCAGACAAACAAGTTTGTTTACATTTGCAGGAAATAATGCTGCCCACTTCTTGTTTACAATGTCACCCAAAAGTGAGAACAGACGTTCGCATGGCACTGTTGTAGCTGGCATTGCAAGAGATTTACGTGCCAGATGTGCTAAAGATTCATATGTCCCTTCATCTTCAACAACTATTCCAGAAAACATGCATCCATGCTGATGACGATCCAAAGCAGTGCAGACTGATGTACGTTCACTTTCATCATCTGAGTCAGATGCCACCAGCAGAAGGTTGATTTTCTTTTTTGATGGTTCGGATGCTGTAGTTTCCTCATCAGAGTGTTGCTCTTAAGACTTCTGAAAGCATGCTCCATACCTCGTCCCTCTCAGATTCTTAAATCTTGGGTCGAGTGCTGTAGCTATCTTTAGAAATCTCACATTGCTACCTTCTTTGTGTTTTGTCAAATCTGCAGTGAAAGCGTTCTTAAAATGAACAACATGTGCTGGGTCATCATCCGAGACTACTATAACATGAAATATATGGCAGAATGCAGGTAAAACATAGAACAGGGGACACTGAACTCCTTGGGGGAGAATTGTGTTACAAATTTAATTAATGCATATGAATGTTTAGCATATCTGGCAGATAAATACCTTGCAATTCCGGCTACAAAAGTGCCATGCGAACGCCTGTTCTCACTTTCAGGTGACATTGTAAATACGAAGCCAGCAGCATTATCTCTCGTAAATGTAAACAAACTTGTTTCTCTTAGCAATTGGCTGAGTAAGAAGTAGGACAGAGTGGACTGTTTTATTTTTGAGTGTATATATAAAAAAATATAAAAATCTGCACTTCCACGATAAAGAGATTGCACTCCAGTACTTGTATGA